GGTGGCTTGTATTCTGTAGTGCCATATATTGCAATTGATGAGATATAAAAGACTAACTTTAATCTTTTCCAGGATAATCATTGTCATCATGGAAAAGACAACCAATAAGACTGACAAACCAGGAAATGAAGAAAGTGCGTCAGCTCAGAACCCCATAAATGAAGATGCTAAAGTAAGTAACAACAGTTTATTGTCATGGACAATTACATAGATAAAACTAAAAACATATATCATTATATATCTTGTCATAACATCACATTACCTTGAGAATATCTCTGAGATTATGAAAAGGCAAGTTGGTTGAGGTATTGCACAGAAACCAAAATAAATATATATTTATATCAATGCATATGTTTATTATCATCTTAGTGATAAAGATGTTTGTCCTGATTTAAAGAAGGCAGCGTTTGAATCCTTGAACTCCATCCTGGCTGATACTGAAGCCTGGATCCGTGCAATCGATGAGAGCTTTGTAAGAATACTTTCATTTAATTTCATTAGTTGTTCAAAAATTAAAAACATGAAACTGATTAAATACTTACCTTTTAGATCTGCCCATTTGTGAAAGAAGATCCTCCCCTGCTAGCGGCGCTGACACAGTTGAAAATCAATCTGCTCGATATCGGCGATATTTTGAAGACATTTCCAAAGTAAGCTGCATCGAGACATTGAAAAAGTTAATGTGCTACTGCCACTACTATTACTTAATGTTATGGTTGCTGTCACTGGTGATTGATGTTTGCTGTCTGTCTGTCTAAATTTCAGGCATGACGATGCATCCGGGCGAACTGCTTGAGTCCCTACACATCAACATGTTTTATTTTCAGTTGTGATTAATAAAAGTTACTTAGGTTTCATCATTGTCTGACTTTTTGATTTTCCATAATGCTTACTGATAATGTCTTATTGGTCATGTTAATGTTTCATAATTACATCAGTGTTATTAGCAATACCTGAATTGCTAAGTTAGTAAGATGATACCAGAAACCACACATCACGGTTCCAAAATCACTAAGTTTGTTAGATGATACCACAAAAGTCACATAACAATTCCGAATCTGCTACGTTAGTAAGATGGTACCAGAAAAGTCACATAACAATACCTAAACTGCTACGTTAGTAAGATGATACCAGAAAACACACATCACAATTCCGGAATTGCTAAGCTAGTAAGATGATACCAGAAAAGTCACATAACAATACCTGAATTGCTAAGTTAGTAAGATGACACCAGAAAAGTCACGTCACAATACCTGAATTGCTAAGTTAGTAAGATGATAACAGAAAAGTCACATAACAATTCCTAATCTGCTANATAACAGAAAAGTCACATAACAATTCCTAATCTGCTAAATTAGTAAGATGATACCAGAAAAGCCACATAACAATACCTGGATTGCTAAGTTAGTAAGATGATACCAGAAACGTCATGTCACAATGCCGTAATTGCTAGGTTAGTAATATGATACCAGAAAAGACACATCGCAATTCCTAAAGTGCTAAGTTAGTAAGATGATAACAGAAAAGACACATCGCAATTCCTAAAGTGCTAGGTTAGTAATATGATACCAGAAACGTCACATAGCAATACCTGAATTGCTACGTTAGTAAGATGATTCCAGAAACCACACATCACAGTTCCGAAATCGCTAAGTTAGTAAGATGATATCAGAAAAGTCACATAACAATTCCTAATCTGCTAGGTTAGTAATATGATATCAGAAAAGTCACGTCACAGTACCGGAAGTGCTAGGTTAGTAGGATGATACCAGAAAAGTCACGTCACAATACCTGAAGTGCTAGGTTAGTAGGATGATAACAGAAAACACACATCACAATGCCGTAATTGCTAAGTTAGTAATATGGTACCAGAAAAGCCACATCGCAATCCCTAAAGTGCTAAGTTAGTAAGATGATACCAGAAAAGTCACGTCACAATACCTGAAGTGCTAGGTTAGTAGGATGATAACAGAAAACACACATCACAATGCCGTAATTGCTAAGTTAGTAATATGGTACCAGAAAAGCCACATCGCAATCCCTAAAGTGCTAAGTTAGTAAGATGATACCAGAAAAGTCACGTCACAATACCTGAAGTGCTAGGTTAGTAGGATGATAACAGAAAACACACATCACAATGCCGTTATTGCTAAGTTAGTAATATGGTACCAGAAAAGCCACATCGCAATCCCTAAAGTGCTAAGTTAGTAAGATGATACCAG